CCAGCGCCACGTTCACTGATATGAATGAAACTCGGTAGGTTAAATTTTTGCCACAAAAATTTAATCTGGCAAACCTAAGTAGTATTGACTTGGTCCCGCGGGAAATGGGCGTAGCTAAAACATAATGGAATTAGCCCACGCCCCCCCCAGAATCATCCCCCAAGGCAACGTAAAGAACCGACAATGTATGAAAAATTGGCATACATGTGTATCATGATGGGACAAGCAAAAAACCTCTTGGACCCCAATAACCCAAACCAACAAAGAAGTACTGCCATTTTGAATCTCGTGGTCATTTTGCGTTTTTTTGCGTCGTTTATATTGAACGAACTCCTCGAGGGAATTTTATCGATCAACTTCAAACTTTAATCATCGCCAATCTAAAGACATTCATGATTAAAAGTTGTGCTATTTAACGTTATCATCGTCGAACGTGTGCCCGTGGCGTTGCGTTGAATTACGACGATTCACCATTAAACAGAATAAGTACTCAACTTCCCAACTGTCCAATCTCCACTAAAACTTCACATATTCTGTTAACAGTCCCACCGTGAAACACAATCCTCATAAACTTCAGTGTACATTATCTGATCTCAATGAAACTTCACATGTCTGATAACAGTCCCACCCTGAACACATCTACGTGACAATATTGAGATATAGTGAGAGCGCCACCTACTGGCAACAGGAAGTAAGCGCTGCGTGGCAATTTTGATCTGATTTATGTGAAATTTTCATGTTGTGGTCTGCACGTGTTACGATCGCACATGACGCAGCCGCAGCAGCACCCCCGACACCGCCGCTGCGAGGTCCACCCGTCAATGCTGCTTGCAGCTTTAATATTATTATTGTTATATTAGAGGGGTCTGCTTTATGTAAATGCGTAATGTATTCATACATTTATAGATTATATCTAGGTGTGTCCATTGCAAAGAGATGCATCAATCCACTTTTTTCAGTTCCAATCTGATCCCAATACCTAAATTTGGATATCTGCACACTGTGTTAAGACAAGTTCACTGTTGTTCATTTTCAGCCATATATCCAGGCATTGTAGGATAGCAGATAACACAGAAAAGTTGCATAGTAATTTGAACTGAATGGAAAAAGTGATAAAGTCAGGATGTGTTGTCTTTCCCTGCTGTGGAGAACAATATCATTATTGCAGACTGTTTCTTCTTTTCTATGACTATATGTGGTTATAGGTATAAATAATAAGAATGCTGCATGGCACAAAGTCATGTTAATTGTTGGAGAACATTGTAGGTTGCTCATTTACACAATGCTGGCTGACAACCTTGCAAAGTGTTGGCATTCCACAGTGAGACAATTATCTTTCAGTGGGTCTTTGCCATCAGACTGAAGGTAAAGTAAAGTAGCGTGATTGCGTGCAAAGTTAGTGGAACAACTCGAGTGGATGCAAACGTTTGGTTTTATTCTAGGCAACCCAAGTTTAGGTAAAGATGCATCCCTGTGAGTTGAGCAAAAGTTTTAAAAGAATAATTCCACACACAGTCAGTGTGTGCATGCTAGCTACAGCTAACGTATTGTACAGTCAGTACATTGGATGATTGTGACCAATTAACTATACATATACAGTCCAGTAGTCAAAGTTGCACAAAAAAGGCGGATTAAAAAAGGTTGCTTCCCATTCTGCCACTTTTGAATTAAACTACTAAAACATACAAGTTTTACCATTGACAGTATATAATTAGCGGAAAAGTGAAGATAACCCAAGGCAGAAGTATCTTTAACATACATTTTTTTTGCCAGCAGGGGTCACCTCCATTGGATGTGAATAAGCTCTGATAGTATTGAGTGTT